TTAGGTTTAAACACTGTGTAACCATTTATCAATACCATAGAATAGAAAATCATTCTCTTACGGAGACATGCTCTACATGGCCAGAGGCTACATACCAGTAGCAACGTGAATCTAAGTTTTTTCACTGATCATATGGTCAAAGGTATTTATTTGCTATTAAAAATAGTGAATAAAATTAACCTGGAAAAATGACTCGGAATAATAACACTGAAAAGCACATAGCACATATAACACATAACATACAATTGTTCATGTATATTAAACTCATCGTGAAATAATCGGGGGCTAAAATATTAATTTGGGCAATATTTTGGTTCTAAATATAACTTTCGTCGTTGAAAACCGGGAGTTTTATTGAAAATCGGGCTTTGCGAAGGTAGAGCTTCAAAACGAAAAGATAAATTTTCGGGCTTCTCGAGCACTTCGGGACGTATTCCAGGCTTTAAAAATGTTACCGGGGCCTCAGGGCAATTTAAAATAGTGAAAAATATTGAAAAAAGGGGCCAAAGATGCCAAATTCTTAAAAATACCCGGGTTGGTTCGCAACCTCCCTTTTATAGAGGCGAATCCGAAGTCGGCCAAAGAAGGAGAGTCAGCAGCGAGCATCTCGGTGACAACAATAACAAAGGACACGCGTCTATGCGAGGCGTCTTAGGAGACGTCTCAAACGTCGCCTCATACGCCAAAAGGCGCGTCGGATGGTCACTAGTCCGAGGTTCGGTCCTATCAGATAGCGACACGCGGCGTGATGACTCGACACTTCGGATACGTGGCGATCTCCGGCGACGGTGACGTGGCCGATGCGAGATTCCTCGGAAATTGCACCCAATTCTTCTAAGATTCATAACTTTCTCATACGGGCTCCGTTTTTGACGTTCTTTATATGCACACGTAGCTAAATTTATGCTCTACAACTTTCGTTTAGATTTCGACAACTAATTTTGACTTTAATTTTAATATTATTATTTTTAACAGACCGGGACTGGAAAGTCAGTTAAAAATTCATAACTTCTTCATCCGACATCCGTTTTCGTCAGACATTTTACCGTCGTACTACTAATGACGAGGCCTTCAATTCTCGTTTAGGTTGTGTCGGCTAAAAATCACTCGATCTAAAATTCAAGTTTTTAGTTGTCTACTGCTAAGCTGAAACTTCAAAAAATAATAACTTCCTCATACGCAGTCAGATTTTGGTGTTTTTTTATCGAACTTATCGGTTTAATGAATACTACAACTTTCGTTTAGATTACTAAAGCTAAAAAAAGTAGTTTATCAATAACTCACTTTTTACGTCATTCAGCGCTGTGCTGGTTTTGTCGCAGATCTTCGATTGGTCATAACTTCTTCGTTATAACTCAGATTTCGATGAGGCTTTTGCCTACATGTTTCTAACGAGATTATCTACAACTTTCAATAATAAAATTTTACTTATTTCAAATTTTATATTTTCGCTATATTTCACTATTTGGCTTTTAAATCGGAATCTCATGTGACTTCCAATGTTTTATGAGTGATTCTAAACATAGTTTACTTCATTTATCGTAAAAACTATCTGTTAGAAATCAACATTCAAATTCACATAATATTTCATAATATTATTTACTTAAAACACGATTTCAAAACGTGTATGTTACAATTACCTCCTCCTTTTGAGGATTTTGTCCCCGAAATTACATCGATTAAAATAAATGGGGATATTTTGCTTTTATCTCATTTTTATTTTCCCAAGTATAATTTGGACCTCGATGGTGTTTCCACTTGACAAGTACCAACTCCACTTCTTTATTACGTAGATTAGTTGTTCTTTCATTCACGATCTCTTCCGGCTCTTCTACATATCTTAACTTAGTATCCAATCTCACCTCGGATAATGGAACTGTCTCATCATTGATGCTTAAGCATTTGCGCAGATAGCTTACATGAGACACATCATGAATATCTGCCAAATCTTCAAGTAATTCTAAGCGGTATGCTTGCTTTCCAATTCTTTTGATGATTTTGAAAGGACCAACAAATTTAGGGCTTAGTTTTCCTTTCTTTCCAAGTCTCATAAGGTCTTTCCATGGGGATACCTTCAGCATTATGTAATCACCCACTTAAAACCATGGTTTTCAATCGAGAGTTATACGTATTAAACTGTCTTAATAAGAAAATATGAGATTTTCTTGGATAACAAATTTTTCAGAAAACTAAAGGAAACATGTTCATTTTCATAAAACAAAACACTTATAAACTCACCACCTTTATGTTGGTTTTCAAACTGTTTGTATTCTCAGGTCCGCATTAGACAGGTACCCGCAACATTTTGGAGAAGACGGAGCGTTTTAGAAGACACGTCTTCACTTTTGTTCAAACTTTTGTATAGATAATCATGTATCACCTTACTGTTAAACAATTGTGATTACTCATACGTAATGTAATGTTTCATGTTTACTATGCTTACTATGTACATTGGTTGTGATACTTACATGACGTCCTCCACCCCGGAGCATTTCCGCCATCGGTTTCGGGGTGTGACACCCTCCCTCTACAGTTATTTTCAAATGAAGTCCATAATTTACTCTTTAGCCCCTGCTTCCATAAATATTTTCATAATAAGTCCCATACTTACCAAATAACCCCTGTATTCTAAAAATCTTTACAAATAATTTTCGGAACTTACCCTTCTAGCTCCAAACTTCTAAATTATGCCAGTTAAATCCTCGAAACCAATACCTTGCTATATAATTATTGAGTTTAGGGATACGATTCATTCATTAATTAGTTTGTTTATTTATTAAATAAAATGGTGTTACATATTGGGTCAAGAACATGCCATGCTCAAAAATCACCATTTTGGGACAAAAAGTGTCTTAAAGGGAGAAATGTCTAGATATACAAGATAGAATGATCAAGTTGCAAACTTTATACATCATGGAGGTTGCTAACAAGAAGGAAATCTCAGATCCAAAATGTTTCCAAGCTCTAAGCTCTTTTCACCACCTTCTTCTTCTTCAAGAACACATGTGAAACACTCCAAAGGGCCTAAAATGTACTTTTTCTCACAAAGGGTTTGCTTGGGATCATTTTTCATAGAGAGAGGCTGATGAAGAAATGAGACATGAAGCTGTAATAGGGTTTAAATATGGACCAAACCCTAAAAATTAGGGTTTGCACATTTTTCACGTACGCCCACGCACGAGGTGTACGCCCAACGTACACACCATACACTCAACGTACTACTACACTTGAACCAAATTACCATATTGTAACTATGAGCCATTTTGCAATCCTTTTCAATCCCAATGGCTAAAATACCATATTTTTTCAAACATAGGGTTGCAATTGGAATTACCTTGACATCGGGATGTTATAGTTGTTAAGCTTTTTCCTCTCTTTTAGATGGTGGCTGAAACTGTCTTTCTTATTCCCATCTCTCTCTCTCTCTCTCTCTCTCTCCCAGTCTCTTATTTCTTTCTCTCTCTCTCTCTCTCTCTCTCTCTCTATCTCCCTATCTCACTCTCTCACTCTCTCTCCATCTCATTCTCTTTGAAGCTAGTTTGGTGATTAAAAGCCCTAATGAGTTGTCTCATTTTGTACTTAATTAAGTTAAGCTCTCAAATGTTCAAGACACTCAATAATACAATAAGGAATTAGCATTTCAGGTGCCTTATCTTAATGATTTATACTTGTAGAGAAGCTTATACACTTTGTTTTTTTTTTTTTTTTAATCTTCATCAACACTCCAAAACCAAGTGGCTTCACAGACTTTAGATATTGTCATTCTAAAACACTTTATGTTTGTTTTAATATAATTCTAACATCTATAAATAAATTATAAATGATTTGGTTTTGTTATAAACTCAAAAATAAACTTGCTATTTTTAACGTTTCTGCTGATTGTTTTTTTAAATGAAAAACACATTTATATTTTATATCAAGTTCCATCAAAAGGAAATTGGGAAATGAAATTGTAAATGGCAAATCCATCATTTTGAATTTTTTCAAAAGAAAATGGACCAAAACCGTAACAAAATTAAAGTTTTGGACCAATTGTGTTATCCAATTTTTTTTTTTTTTTAACAAAAATAACAATTTTGGACATACCACATAGATCATTTTTGCACCTTCATCAATAATAGATGAAAATTTATTTTAGATTATGGTATGATATATATACATAGTTACATACCACACACCATATTTTTAATTATTAAATACCACCGTATGATGTGTGATGTGTCCCTTACAACTTAAGACATCTACATATTTAATAATCAAACCAATTTAATCAAATAAACAATAAAACAAGTTAATCAAATAATCAAATACAATATTCTTCATTTACTATAAAAAAATAATTTATTTATAAAATTTCATCATCTGTGTTTTCAAATCTAATAATTTAAATTAATATCAATTTTTATCAAACATTACAAAATTAAAATCACAATAATTAATATTACGTTACATCTAAAAATAAGACCTAGATCTAGTGTAGTGAAAGAAACAAGGAAGACATAAAGCATCGAACCCATCCGTATGTTCTGGGATGAACCACGGAGGGTGCAATCGGGCGCGAATAGGGTCTCGAAATCGAATTATTAAGCGGCAAACATATGATTTCCCACCATTTACTTTTCATCAAAGCGGGAAATCGATACCCTAGTTTTATTTTCCATTTTTCGTTTGCACCTCTTGATATACAACACTCGATTACAAAACCCGAAAATAAAGTAAGAAAGGGAAGAAATAATACGCTTGTTGAAAGCCTCAAGTCCTCAACAGTCGGCACATTTACCCCACCCACGTATCCTTTTACCCCTATTCTTAAAAAAACCCAAAGAGATTCACCAAAACTGGACCATTTCATCAGAATCTAGGTTGGTTTAAGTTGATTCGAGGCAAGAAATTCTGGTAAATGCGATAGTTTGTGTGCAAGTGAAGTTTGATCGGAATCTGAAATCTCTTTAGTTAAATCGGAAGAGGGTTTTGAAAATTAGGGTCTAGGGTTTGTCGAAATGGGCGATGCAATGGTTGTCGACGTTCCAAAGAAATCGACGAAGAGGAAGAGGGTTGAGTTAGTGATGAGTACACAAGAAAGAGAAGCACGCATTGGGGCTTTACGTGGGGAACTTGATAGTTTGTTCAAGTATTACAACGAGTCTCTTAGTCGGAACGCGCTAATCGATGTAGACTCAGTTAAGGCGAATGGTTCGACTAATTTGATGATTGCGTCTTTACTGGAAGAGAACAGTCTTCCATTGTCAAAATTGGTGGAATTGATTTTCTCTACACTGAAAGAGAAAGAGGGTTCGATGACACCTGCTTCTGTGAAGAGCTCTGTGCTTCTTATCGGCCAGAGATCTTTCTATGGAGTACAAAACCCAAATGCGGATGTATTGGAAGACGACTCTCCTTCTTCCCTTTGGTGTTGGGAGGTATAAATGAAAATTTCCTGCTGTGATTCCTTTATAGCTTATGATGATCTGCATTTAACGTATTAGTCACTCGAATTACTATCAGATTTAGTGAGTTTGAGTATCTTTATGTATATATAACTGATGCTAAAACCCCATTAATCTTGCAGACAAGAGACATAAAATTACTCCCGAAGTCATTTCGTGGTGCGATTAAAATTCGGCGTACTTGTCGCAAAAAGATCCACGAAAGGATAACTGCTGTTTCTGGTTAGTGTTCGATTGCTCTTAACTTTTATTTGAAGTTGTGGTTTTTTGGCCTCTTAATTTGAAAGAGAAACTGAAGAAAAAAATTCCCCAATTACTCAAGATTTCAAACTGTTTGCTTGTTACCATGTTAAATGAAGAAAGAACAAAACTTTCCTTGATAGCTTGTTATGATGTTTAATTACATTAATTGATCAATTTCAGATGTTATAACCGAGTTAATGAAGCCAGAGAGCGCTTCAAATGGTGTTCAGAAGGTTCTGAAAGCATCTGAAAGGCTTATTAAAGTGTTGAGTGAAGTGGAAATACGTTCACTAGTTGAAAAAATGGAACAGAAAAATGGTGCTGACGTGTAAGTATATGCTGTTGTATTGTTGATTATTTTGTTACATGTTATTGTTCTTGGTCCATAACTTGGCATTTGTTCATGGGTGAAGTGCTGAGAAGGAAGTGAAACGTGAAGAAAAACTAGTGGTGAAGCAATTGGAGAAAAACAAACGTGAAGTTGAGAAAGAGAAATTGAGAATTGAGCGAGAACTTTTGAAGGAAAAGTTGCAAAATGTAAGTTTTATTTTTCCTTTTAAATACATATATATCACAACATATGTTTCTATGTGTGTTATCAAAGTGGTTATTGCTACTTAAAGAATTAGGATCAGATAGTTAGTCATGTTTCTTTAAACAAAAACTTTAATGTTTTAAACTGCTAAATTGATAAAATGGTCAAAGTATGTTGTGCTTTTCCTTAATATCAAGATTGGGAAACCTGGAAGAATGTTTTTTTAAATGGTCAAAAAAGTATAATGGTTTAATCACTACAAAAAATAGTTAATTTGCTAAATCAAAGAAAATAGTGAAAACATTGTGTTTTCCTGTATTGTGCCCTTCTCAAAATGTTCTAAAAAGTTATCTATTTATTTATATGCGGTGTAAGATATAAATAAATAGAAAGTCACCATCTATAGGTTAGTTTCTCTTATGTCAACTTTTTTGTTCTTTAAAGATGTTTTGATACTATTTTGGTCAATGGTTGACAGGAGAAAGAAATGAAACGTCTGCAAGATGAGGCTGAAAAAGAAGAGAAACGCCGTGAAATTGAAATGAAAAAACAGTTAAAAAAACAACAAGAGGAAGCAGAAAAAGAACAAAAACGCAAAGAGAAAGAAGAAGCTGAACAAAAAAAGCAACTTGCTTTACAAAAACAAGCATCGATCTTGGAAAGATTCCTCAAAAAAAGTAATGGAACTTCACCAATGCAGGTTGACCAATCACCAGTCAAAGATACAGAAAGTTCACCTAAACAAAAAACACATGTGCCCGAATCAGTAGTTCAATCAATGGATGATGCCATTTCACTCAAAAAAGAGTTTGATTCAAATGAGTTATGGAAGTAAGCTCACTTTTTATGATATTTTTTATACTTCTTTGTGTTTTGTAATTGGTTTTTGACATTTTTTTTTGTACTTACAGTGTACATTTGAGATCTTGGCATCAATTAGTTCATTGTGGTAGCAAAAAAAGGCATTGGGGTATGCGGTTGACTCCAAAGACTGTTGTGGTCAAAGAGCTGAAGTTGACCAATATTGAAAAACTAATTGATGGATGGAATGAAAATAAAAATGATTCAAAAGATAATTCGGTTATTGATAGCCAGAAGTTTAGAAGAAGCAAACAGTTGTTACAGTTTGATAAGAGTCACAGACCTGCATTTTATGGTTATTGGCCTAAGAAAAGGTACATAATGTTACTAATTATCTGTTACCAAATTTGAATTACTTTAAATTATATTTTAGGTTTTGATTAGATTTAGTTTTGGATTTGTTGTTTTTTCAGTGAAGTTGTTAAACCTCGTTGCCCTCTTGCTAAAGATCCAGAGCTGGATTATGAGATTGATAGTGATGAAGAATGGGAAGAGGTTTGTATAATTAATGAATCTGTTCATTATGTTTATTAAAA